ATCATGTTGGTGTGATATGTAGGGAAGCCAGGATGGCATCATGTAGGGGGAGACTAAACAGGGTTTTATCTTGGAGAGTCATGAAAACATTTGTACCCTCACAAACCCCCCCCCCCCCCCCCCCCCATCCCCTCTTCATTACTTTGTGTGTGTGGGTCATGTTGGCCCTGCCAAAACTTTAAACTGTGACATGACCACGTCTTCAGAAACTTGTAGGATTTCTGTGTTCTAGCTAATACTATTGCTGTTCTTTCATCTCTTTCCAACTGAGTGACAGGCCTACTGACAATCCTTCTCCTCCTAGGTTCTGTTCCTTTTTGTACAAGTTAAGCCAGAGGGCACTTGCTGCAGTCACATAGAAGAGCTGCCTCAGATGACAAAACAACTAATAGGTTCCTACAGAAGAGCAGCGAGAGGCCAATGGCAATAGGAACACCACTGCCAAGTCAGGGAGACATAACATGTCCTTAAGCAGCCATCAACATTGTCTACAAGTATTGTAAATCAATACGCCATGCCACAAACTCACATCAGCAGTCTCTCTAGACATGGACAGAACACCCCAGCGAACTATGTCCCAGGTGCCTGCTAGGGGCCAACTCCCACCCGATCGTGCAAATACACCTGAGTGATGTGTAGTGACAATTCCCTGGGAGAAGGCAATATGACCAGAGAGAAATCAGGTCAACATGGGGGTTGTAGTTGCCGGTTGCCTTATTTTTTTTTTGGAGCTGCAGGTGCTGGTATGTACAAAACCCCACTGGTCTGAGTTCTCCCACACCCCTTTCCAGCTATTGTCTGGCTCTATTCTGGTAGACAGACATCACCATCCTAGCACGATCGATCATCAACAGTCTCCAAGCACCAAACTTGGGTACTATCATCAGCTATCTCCAAGTGCTGAGTGCCAGAGTTGGGTACTGACTGTCAACCATCACAGAAGTCAGACTACTGCAATTAGGCAGGATACAGATTTGAAGTCCTCACTTGGCAAAACCCAGGCTTGTGTTTATTTAGGTTGACTAGTGGCTGCAGGCAGATACGATACCTCCTTACCACATCATTCTACCCTACCATACCCTACCCTGTGACGAGTGTCAGTCCGCAGATGCTGTCCCACAGACAAAACGTAGAAGTAACAAAAACCACACCAACATGTTACAGCTTTATGTGGGTATCATTGTCACACGGATGACATGTTCACATAGATAACAATTATGAACATTCAGATAAACAAATAATGACAAATGTCATAAATACAAACAAACCCTAACTGGATCCTCTACTTTTTTTTTTTAAAGAGTTGAACAACCCTTTCACATGGGTCACCTAAGACCATATGAAAACACATATTCATTGAAGTTATGAAGGAAAATATTTGTTTTTAGGAGGGGGGAGCAACACAATTTCCCTCCCCCCCCCCCACCCACCTCCTCTACCCCTCTTTTCCCCCCCCCCCTTCCTCTACCCCCTCTTTTTTGTGTGTGCCCTCCTCTACCCCTCTTTTCCCCCCCCCCCCTCTACTACCCCTCTTTCCCCCCCCCCCTCCCTCTACCCCTCTTTCCCCCCCCCCCTCCTCTACCCCTCTTTCCCCCCCCCCTCCTCTACCCCTCTTTTCCCCCCCCCCCCTCCTCTACCCCTCTTTTCCCCCCCCTCCTCTACCCCTCTTTTCCCCCCTCCTCCTCTACCCCTCTTTTCCCCCCCCTCCACTCTACCCCTCTTTTCCCCCCTCCTCCTCTACCCCTCTTTTCCCCCCCCCCCCTCTACCCCTCTTTTCCCCCCCCTCCTCCTCTACCCCTCTTTTCCCCCCTCCTCCTCTACCCCTCTTTTCCCCCTCCTCCTCTACCCCTCTTTTCCCCCCCTCCTCCTTTCCCCCCCCCCCCCTCTACCCCCTCTTTCCCTCCTCTACCCCTCCTCCTCCTCTACCCCTCCCTCCCTCCCTCTACCCCTCCCCTCCTCCTCTACCCCCTCCCCCTCCTCTACCCTCTCTCCTCCTCCTCTACCCCTCCCTCTCTCCTCTACCCCTCCCTCCTCCTCTACCCCTCTTTCCCTCCCTCCTCCTCTTTCCCTCCCTCCTCCTCTACCCCTCTTTCCCTCCCTCCTCCTCCTCTACCCCCTCTTTCCCTCCCTCCTCCTCCTCTACCCCTCCTTCCCCCCTCCTCCTCCTCTACCCCTCTTTCCCCCCTCCTCCCCTCTACCCCTCTTCCCCCCCCCCCCTCCTCCACCCCTCTTTCCCCCCCCCACCTCCTCCACCCCTCTTTCCCCCCCCCCTCCTCTACCCCTCTTTCCCCCCCTCCTCCTCTACCCCTCTTTCCCCCTCCTCCTCTCTCTACCCCTCTTTCCCCCCTCCTCCTCCTCTACCCCTCTTTCCCCCCCCTCTACCCCTCTTTCCCCCCCCCCCTCTACCCCTCTTTCCCCCCCCCCCCTCTACCCCTCTTTTCTCCCCCCCCCCCTCTACCCTTCTTTCCCCCCCCCCCTCTACCCCTCTTTCCCCCTTCCTCTACCCCTCTTTCCCCCTTCCCTCTACCCCTCTTTCCCCCTTCCTCTACCCCTCTTTCCCCCTTCCTCTACCCCTCTTTCCCCCTTCCTCTACCCCTCTTTCCCCCTTCCTCTACCCCTCTTTCCCCCTCCCCCAGCCCTCTCTCCCTCCCACAGCCCTCTCTCCATCCTCCCTCCCTTCCCCAGCCCTCCCTCCCTCCATCCCTTTCCCAGCCCTCCCTCCATCCTCCCTACCTCTTCCCCAGCCCTCTCTCACACATATGCACACACAAATCTGTCAGTCTAGAATATCAACAAAAACTCATGTGGACCCACAACAGTGGATCGCTTGGTGTAAAAAGCATATGTCCTTTACTTCTGCGAGATAAAAATATATGGTTTTGTACAAATATTTTCTGAACTAACCTTAAATAAAGAAGTCCTGAATTTTGGAGTCAAACATGTTCATTGTTACAGTTAGATGCCCCACCTCTAGTTTGTCTGTACTAATAATGCTTTAAGCTATGAAGTTTTAAATTTGGGGCTAAAATAACCAGGGTATTATAAAATTAAAATATTTATAACTCAACTTACATTAGATATTTCTTGAAGCTGGTGGTAGGAGGCCTGTTATTGTTGTAAAGCTGTGTGTTATTGTTGTAAAGCTGCGTGTTAGTGTTGTAAAGCTGCGTGTTAGTGTTGTAAAGCTGCGTGTTAGTGTTGTAAAGATGCGTGTTGTGTTGTAAAGCTGCATGTTGTGTTGTAAAGCTGCGTGTTGTGTTGACAAGCTGCGTGTTGTGTTGTAAAGCTGCGTGTTGTGTTGTAAAGATGCGTGTTGTGTTGTAAAGCTGCATGTTGTGTTGTAAAGCTGCGTGTTGTGTTGTAAAGCTGCGTGTTGTGTTGTAAAGCTGCGTGTTGTGTTGTAAAGCTGCGTGTTGTGTTGTAAAGCTGCGTGTTGTGTTGTAAAGCTGCGTGTTGTGTTGTAAAGCTGCGTGTTGTGTGTTGCTGCGCTGTTGTGTTGTAAAGCTGCGTGTTGTGTTGTAAAGCTGCGTGTTGTGTTGTAAAGCTGCGTGTTGTGTTGTAAAGCTGCGTGTTGTGTTGTAAAGCTGCGTGTTGTGTTGTAAAGCAAAGTTGATTAATTTATCTCCAATAGTTTAAGGGAGAAACACCAAAAGATCAGTCACACCCCTACATTTTTGGCAAAGTTTTCGTAAATTTTCAAAGAGAATAATTGCACTTACTCGGCTTGAATGAGCTAATGTCCTCCAGTTAATCCCTCCTGGTGGACCTGCTTATCTCTAGTAAGTAAGTCTACTCAACCTTTTAGCTATTCTGGCTTCATATAATGTATCTCTGGCTTCATATAATGTATCTCTGGCTTGCTGTTAGAGCATTTTATTTAATGCAGCGAAAATCCTTATCTAGAAAACAGTCTATAGCAAACTGTCCAACATTGAGCTCCAGTGCCTTCACAATCACTGAATACTCACTGCTAATGAAACAGCTGTAGTTACAACCCAATAGGTGTAGCAACTGCAGTCACTGAAAATACAATCTTACTTCCTAACCTTTGCCTCTGAGTTTCATCTAGTCTGAGGCTATGATGACAACATGCACACACTAATTGTGATGAAACTTTGTGACTCAAAATGTCCATATAAATAATAATTATGTTGCCACTGGGGACAAGTTTAGATAAATAATTACTTTCACTTTCAATATCACACTACTAAAGTCATCGGAACACCTTTGTTTATCCTCTAGATTTTCATTCATAATGTTGTCCATAAACAGAGGTAGTGGGCGTGGCACTTACATATTCTGAAATTATTTTCTTTCTCAGAAACTGGACAAGTGTCAGCGTCACTGCTCTGCTCCCCCCCCCCCCCCCCCCCCCCAAAAAAAGGACCCTTCACATCTTCAGGTGTACTGGGCATCAAATGCTAGGCTGATATTTTATAGACCAATTGGTACTGGGTTGGAAATGTGGTCAACATCCTGCTGGCCGTCTTTACTTCCCAGGACTTTACCTGGTAACCACTCAAGCCTGAGTCAACCTGGAAGCCAAGGTAATTTTTTGGACAGAAAAAAGTCTCTGTCAGGACCCCCCAAACACAAACTTTCGATCTGCAGGCGAGTGTCATTACAACAATGGCAGCTCCCCAAATAGACCACTATGGGCAGATCAAACAAGTAGACCAGGTCTGGAAACTCCTGCTGGAGAACAGCTGTGCAAGGAAGACAATGGTTTTAACAGGAAGATATTAGAAAGGAGATGCCCAAATGTACCATCGTGATAAGGGAACTGACACCAGAGATTTATTGCTGGTGACCGTCTATCGATGGAAGACTGACATGTCTGACACTATAGGATAAATCTGGATAGATCCCTGCCAGTGCTCCAGAGTTAATGCACTGGGCTGAGATTGTCTTTGACATATCAAAGAAGACATCCCCTTACTGTGGTTATCTAAATGTAAATAATGCTAACAAACTAAACTCTAGCCAAAATGAACCAGAGGCTACCTAGCAAACTTGCATTGACCCAGCACAAGCACCTTGCCCTGATGCTGCACAATCTTGCTCTTGTCCTCCATGTGGTCGTGCTTCATGTCATGCTGGATGATGTAGTTGCCAAACTGGTCCTGCACCAGACGCTCATGCAGTTCATCCAGGACTGGGGTGGTCTGCTCCAGGGTGTAGTGCTCCTGTATGCGCTGGATCCCCTGACAGCCGTTGGGATCTTGACAAATGAAACAGCTGGGGAGAGTGAAGACATGCATGAATAGCTTAAAAATGTCTGCTGTAACCACAATGAATGCCGGTTACAATGTACTTACTGCCGTGAATAACGTTTGTCAAATCAAGTCACCAAGGAATATGTCTAGAAATTCAACGATCGTCAAAGTTGGTGAGCAAAGTGTTAAGACAGAAAAGCAAAAGAAAAGGACCCTTCCTGAGGCCATCAAGCACACTGTGCACATAGTTCTAGACCCATATTTTATAGACCAATCAACACTCTGTAGGTGATCCAGCCGCCTTTATTTCCCAGGACTTGACCTGGTACCAATTTTAGGCTGGGTCAGCCTGAGAGTCGAGGTAATTTTTTTTTTTTAAATTGAGCATCATGTGGATTTCAACAAACCTTCAGGCCACAAGCATGCATCTGTCCACTTCACCACGACAGCTCTCAAGAAAATGACAGTAATTATGCCAAAATAAGATCTAACTTGGGAAAGGGAGGGGGAGGGGGGGGGGTCTGATATCTTAGTGTAGATCAGGCTAAGGAACAAAGCATGAGTTTGAGCTGCCAGTGTAGGACTGGGCACCAGTGTAGGTTTGTCCAGTCAAGATCTTCAGTGTGGTCTGTCCAGTTAGGATCTTCAGTGTGGTCTGTCCAGTTAGGATCTTCAGTGTGGTCTGTCCAGTCAAGATCTTCAGTGTGGTCTGTCCAGTTAGGATCTTCAGTGTGGTCTGTCCAGTTAGGATCTTCTGTGTGGTCTGTCCAGTTAGGATCTTCTGTGTGGTCTGTCCAGTTAGGATCTTCTGTGTGGTCTGTCCAGTTAGGATCTTCTGTGTGGTCTGTCCAGTTAGGATCTTCAGTGTGGTCTGTCCAGTTAGGATCTTCAGTGTGGTCTGTCCAGTTAGGATCTTCAGTGTGGTCTGTCCAGTTAGGATCTTCAGTGTGGTCTGTCCAGTTAGGATCTTCTGTGTGGTCTGTCCAGTCAGGATCTTCAGTGTGGTCTGTCCAGTTAGGATCTTCAGTGTGGTCTGTCCAGTCAAGATCTTCAGTGTGGTCTGTCCAGTTAGGATCTTCAGTGAGGTCTGTCCAGTCAAGATCTTCAGTGTGGTCTGTCCAGTCAGGATCTTCAGTGTGGTCTGTCCAGTCAAGATATTCAGTGTGTCCAGTCAAGATATTCAGTGTGGTCTGTCCAGTCAAGATCTTCAGTGTGGTCTGTCCAGTCAAGATATTCAGTGTGGTCTGTCCAGTCAAGATATTCAGTGTGGTCTGTCCAGTCAAGATCTTCAGTGTGGTCTGTCCAGTCAAGATCTTCAGTGTGGTCTGTCCAGTCAAGATATTCAGTGTGGTCTGTCCAGTCAAGATCTTCAGTGTGGTCTGTCCAGTCAAGATATTCGGTGTGGTCTGTCCAGTCAAGATCTTCAGTGTGGTCTGTCCAGTCAAGATATTCAGTGTGGTCTGTCCAGTTAGGATCTTCAGTGTGGTCTGTCCAGTCAGGATCTTCAGTGTGGTCTGTCCAGTCAAGATCTTCAGTGTGGTCTGTCCAGTCAAGATCTTCAGTGTGGTCTGTCCAGTCAAGATCTTCAGTGTGGTCTGTCCAGTCAAGATCTTCAGTGTGGTCTTTCCAAAGTGTTCTACAAGCTGGTCATTTCCTTAAGGCTGTTCCTGATGGCAGTGTTCTATCTTCTGTGTGTTTTCCCTCAACTATGTGTCCATTATATTTCTTCAGCATGCCTCTTGTCTCTCAACAGTTGCTCTTTAATAAACTGTATGGCTGGATTCGGACCCAACCTAATTCCATAATTTTTAGATTCCAGACTCCACCAATGTCTTGGGTAGTGAGATTATACAATGAACTCAGAAAAGGCATAAAATGAAACTTTAAAAACAAAAGGTTCATTTCCACAGACTCAAAATCAGCAAAGATGAATAACAAATCATGAATCCCTTGAGGTAAACAAAGAATGGCTCTATGTAGAAGTATGCACTTCTTGTGTGGGTTCTAGGGTCCATAGGAGAAGGCAGGGAAAGACAGACCCAATGGTACATTAATAAGCAAGTCATCAAAGGTGACCTAATTAATGGTAGAAAGAGGTAGCTAGATGGCGTCAAAGAACAAGAAATAATATGACAGTAGTAAAAGCTACGCAACCAGCAAAAGACTGGAATTAGAATCTAAATGGAACTCCTCTCTATGACACTTAACAGCAGCGGGACAAAAAGAAGAATTAAGGCTTTGCTGAAATCAGACTATTAGGCCAAAAGGTGCAGTTATCACAGCCAAGCTGTAAACAACAATGTGCCAACCGCCCTCTTTTGAGGGTAAATTAAAAAAAAACATTTGGCATCTTGAATATCTGACCCTTTTTTTTAAAAAAACAAACCCCACTCAAGAAAGTTCAATATCCATTTATGTGCACAAAGTGTATACAAATCTCACATACCTGGCCCTTAAAAGCAACAGTAGTAAACTGCATGTATTGAGTGTCCCCACTGTCAAAGTTCTAGACATCATGGCTTCCACTGGCCATCCAGCACTTGACAATCGCTGCCTGTAAGAACAGTTTCTGCAAGCATTACGACACATGTAGCCAACAGGCACAAACTATGTACAGGGTCTTTTCACTTGCAACATAATTCTGAATTCTGTTCCGACAACAGGTCGCTAGTCAAACTGACTTAAGTCAAATTTATATTTAACACTATTTTCACAAACAGGTCATAAAAACTAAATTTTAAAAGTTTCAGTCTATAAATGTATAATTATTGCACATAATGTAGTAAATACATATGTATGCTGCATCAATTCCAGGAACCTCTTGACCCTACGATGTAGTTATTTCACTTTAGATATTTACTGATATATATAAACAATAACAATAAACAACAATGGAGACTGTTCCGACAGAAATTAAAAGGAGGATGGCCATAGCAATGCAAAGATTGAACAGCCTTAAAAGTCTATGGTTAAGCACCAGCAAGGAGATCATTAGAATTTTGAAAGCATGCATCTTCCCTGTGGCTACATATGGATGAGAGTCGTGGACTATCTCTCAGTCCTTAAGAAAGAGAATAGGGGCTTTTGAGCTGAAATGCTATAGAAAGATTCTCAGAATATATTAGACAAAGAAGATGAGAAATATTGACATCTTAAAAGATCTGAACATCAAGGAAGATTGGCTAATAAACAGCATCTTTCCTCGAAAGCTGAAATATTTTGGTCATATCAAGCGCCACGACGGATTGGTAAAAATTATAACAGAAGGCATGGTACCAGAAAGGAGGGGCAGGGGCCGACCGACACGAAGATGGGCAGAGGATATAAGTGACTCCTTGAGTTCGTTAGTTGGGTTATCATCATTGCACTCCGGACATGTCCATAGGTGCTCAGATCCTCCCCTCAGTATGAACCCCAACGTCCGATGGCTAATAGTACCAGTTCTATGTTGATTAACAAGTCTTCTGGCGTGTCCGGTGTGCGTCTCGTTTTTTGCTGTGCCGATCTTAATTCCCAAGTCTGCCATTCTGGCGAGTGGTGTGGATTCACTGCCACCAAAGTCCTCTATCCTTCCCATTTCTCTGGGGGCATTGATAATATCAGCATGATCCATAGGCTGACCGTCGGTAGTGATAGCGGATCCAGCCAACCTGTCAGCTCTTTCATTTCCATCGATATAGGTAATAAATAAAGGTGACTCCACGCACAGTGGACTTCTGAATTGATTCAAGCCATTGTCTTCGCACTGAACCTGCCTGAACCCTCCGGATCATACTCATTGAATCACTGAGTATACATATGCGGGTGCATTTTTGTGTTTCAAGCCAGGCAAACGCTTGCGTCACTGCCATCACCTCCATCGTCATGCTGCTGGTTGTTATGGAGAAGGCGCCGTTGGCTTCTTTGACTGTTCTGCCCGCTGAGCGTGCTGTAAATGCCCATGCGCTTCTTCTTTGGCGTATAACGGATCCGTCTGTATAGATTAGTGCATCTGCTTTGTCTGAATTTTCACCGATGAGAGCGTTGACCTCTGCATTAACAGCAACAGGATTCTCTTCTCTACATCGCCTGTTGAGTGTGACAATACAGGAAAATTTACAAATAAACGCCTGAGGCACAGGTATCCATTCTGCACCAGGTATGATGTCGGTTAGGCTGCATATTTGCCTAATAACATCTTCTGCCCGACCTAGCCACGATTTTCCCCTCTTCAGTCTGTCGCCCTTTTCACTAAAAAGCGCTTGATGCAGTGGGTGTTTCTTATCAGCACATATTTTGAGGTATGCCCGAGCCCTCCACATCCTGATCCTTTGGTTCATTGTTGGAAAGTCAAGTAGATACCTCATTGCTCCACAGGATGTGTGTCTTGTACATCCCAAAATAATGCGCATGGCTTCATTTTGCACCTTTTCGAGTCGTTCAATCTGGGTAGCACTGACAGTGAGGATGGCCAGAGCGTATTCAATGGGGGCAAGGACCAGACCGTAGAATAGAAGTATTAGTAGTCTTTGCTCGATATTGGAAGCAGTCATAATCCTCATTGCAGATAGACCTTTGCGTGCTTTTGTTATCACATGGTCAACGTGTTCCCTGAATGACAAGCTGCGATCGAACCTCACCCTGAGAAACGTCATAACGTTGGTTCTGATCAATACATTATCACGCATTTTCACTTCTGGTAAGTCTGACTTGACAATGTGATTGTTCAAAGAGAACCATGACACTGATGCCTTCGAAGGATTGACATAGGCATTGGAACCATCACACCAGGCGGCAATTCGATCAAGTTCTTTGTGCATTGTGCTGGCGATCTCCTGTCTATCACGCCCTCGTGGATAAATCAAAATGTCATCAGCAAAAGACAAAGTCCTTCCCTTTCCATTCAACTGCTGCTCAGTGATCATCACCGTATAAACGTTGAATAAGACTGGTGATAGCGGTGATCCCTGTGGCAAGCCTGGACATATCGTTTGCGGTTCTGAGGACCAGCTACCACATCTTAGTACAATCTTTCTCTGGAACAGGACCGCAGCAATCCAGCGGATCAGAATAGGATTGACTTCTAGTTTAAGCAGTAATTGCATTAAATAATCATATGGTACTTTATTGTAGGCATCTTCTAAGTCCAACACTGCCGCACATGTCTCTTCTTTAATCTGAAATCCCTCGTACACATCGTAGGCGAAAACAGCAGCATTGAACCATGTCTCTTTCTTCAACCTGTACCCTCCAAGTGTTGGTGGGAACTTATCATGTAGTTCCAAGTAGGTGGTCAATCTTTGTGCGACAATTTTTTCCAAAAGTTTGCCAACAGTATTCGGCATCGAGATGATTCTATAGCCGCAGATCTTTGAGTGGTCTTTATTAGGCTTTGGTAGTGGAACAAATAACTATGGAGCCATTCCTCTTGTATCTGACCACTCTGGATGCTGATATTGAATTCCTTTGCCACGCTTTTCAAATCAGCATTCGACATCATCAGCATGTCGTTGTATCGGATGCCGTCAGGGCCTGGAGCAGTGCTTCGCGATTTCTTGAGGCAAGTTCTTAAGGTATCTGCAGTGATTGTGAAATCAGTGCCTAGCACAGTGTTCTCGCACAGCATCGACAGTTTCATCTTAACCCCTATTCTTGCAGCTTTGTCTTTTTGGTCAGTTTGCTCCAAGTAGCGCGCAAGAAGGGTTTTTCCTTTATCAGCATGTTCTCTGCCATATCAGGTCTGTACCCTGAAAATCAGGGATACCCCTTGGTCGTGCGGCGCCATGCATGCTCCGTTAAAGGCGCCAGAATGTCACAAGAGATCCCTCGGAGCAAACGCTCTTGCAGAATTCGTTCCATTTCGCTGTCTTGGCTTCTTTCGCAATTAACTTGAAAGCCACTGTCCGCTTGTTGACCTCATCTTTCAGACTGATCAGGCGTTCAGAAAGTGACGGATCAATTTTCCTTGCATTTTGCCATGCCTTGACAGCGTTCCTTTTTTCTAGCCACGCCATGTTGACTACTTCATTCCACCATGGTGGCTGGGCCCATCTCTCCCGCCGTCTGCGATCTGCTCTTGTTTTACGTCGTCTGATTTTGCTAATGGCATCTTGCCCTGTACGGTCATATATAAAAGCTGGCACACTGATTACATGACCTTTGTTGTTGCTCTTCTCCACCAGGACGACGCAAGGAAAGTGATCACTGTCATGGTATCCCAGTGTGCTCCACAAGCCAACCTACCAGTTTAACCTAAATTCTATCAGGAAATGAGCTGGGAAGTAGAGGTGGCCAACACAATTAATGCCCAATGGGCTATACAAGTGGTGGTGAAAGGTTTCAACAATTATTTGTTTTAAAAACTGCAACCACAGAAATTACAAATAAATGTTGACTGATTCTGCAGTGCCAGCTTATTTAAGGATGTGAGTGGCCGAAGCCGTCTGCTAGAGGACTTCAGAAACAACCGTATCCCTATCTTGACCCTCCCTGAAGGACTTGGTCGGCCATGTTGCTGAGTTCTCCTAGGATCAGCATGGCTCTAGATGAATGTCCACCTGGTCTGGTCACCTTATTGTTGCTGTAACTGCAGACTGCATTGGTTCTGGCTGTTCTTGGGACTGGGGAAATCATAGAATAGAACCCCTGCTTCCATTTACGAGCATTTTGTAAAAGGCAACTCATTGAGGTATACTAAAATCGATTTTGTTGAGCTGAAGTGTGCAGATATCACAGCCAGACTAAATCACAACACAATGTGCCAGCCACCCTTTTTAGTGCAAACATAGGGAAAAAAAGGAATGTGGCGTTATTAGTAGCTATTAGCTTCATTAAGGACTGCAACGATGTTATTAATATTATAACACTATTCCAAACACCAGTACTCTGTAAATAAATTGACAACAGACATACTTGTTTTTTTTTTTTAAGTTTCACCTTGCTAACAATGTATGTTTACATATTTAAAAAAAAAAAAAGATTACTACCTTCGTTTTCTGTGACCCTGCTTCAAATGAGTCAGTTTACTGAATGAGTGACTGTCAAGCTGGACAAAGATCGGATCTTGTTGAAGCTTTTCGTGGTTTGTTGGAAGGATTATTCCAACTCGTTGTAGACCCGACCACGTTCAACGTTCAATCTGCAGTTTTACGAGGAGACAGACAGCAGACGACAGTTCACTCAATCACTGGAGAAGGAGAAGGGCCCGCCACATCAGTCACGTGACCAGTGTTGCCACTTTTCTTTGACAAAAACATCCAAAACGAGTTTAAAAAAATTTCTAAACACATCTAAATTTGCGTGGGAAACATATAGAAAAAAACATCCAAATGGAAGAGTCACAAATTACAAAGCAATTGATATGACTTACCCTATATAATCATGTCCTTATCTTTACTGGTCTTCCTCACAAGATCCACAGGATACACTTAGTTTGGATGATGAAGTTGAAGCTTAGGATCCAAAACGACTCTGGTATGCTTTATCTGTTCCAATTTCTTTTAATACCCAATCAGGGAGCTGATAAGTGGAACAGCCTT